GCTTTTACCTTCATGCATAGAATGCATGAAGGTAAAAAAAGCTTGAGCCTTTAGACCCACTTTAACTGTGTACCAGAAGTCACGATTTTGTAATATAAAATGCAACCTTTATGGGACAATATAAATGCAATAATATGAATAATTCAGCGATATAAAAAGCAGTACTTCATGGGGCAAGGGCACTACCAGCATGGAGTTTGCATGTTCCCCCTCTGCTTGCATGGGTTTCTTCCAGGTACTCTTGTTTCCTCAAACATTCTAAAGAAATCCAGGTGGGTTAATTGGCTCCCCTCTAAAAATTACCCTATCATAGCAAATTCCAATCAATGCGCCCCAAGATGGCGGTCTCACCATCTTCCCCAATGACAGATAAAACAGTTTTAAGCCACAGGGTGGTAATATAAAAAAAAAAACTTAAAAATGGTAATTTTGGGGTCATGGCTGTAGCCTTTGGATACAACTGGGACTTCAATAAAAAAAAGGAATACCACTCAGGTAAAACAACCAATATCAAACCCCATATAGGTGCAGACCCAGGTCCGCCACCACACCAACATGGAAGAGAAGAAGGGTTTGGCCGCACCCCGACTTATGACTAAGCATGTGACTGTGTGAAACGTGTTAACAGCCAGCATTGTCCTGGTGCTGTATGTTTTGTACCTTTTTATGGATCAATAAATATTTTTCATCAAGCCTCCGGTGTGCGGCCAAACCCTTCTTCTCTTCTACAACAGGGGCTTCCAACCAACATGTTGGTCAACTTGTCAGCAATCAAGCACAGCTGGCTTTGGGTGGAGATGGGCTTTAAACAAGTGGCATATGTGAGACAAATCCCTACTCCAGAGAAGGCACTGTGACAAGAAGTGCCCATGGAAAGTGAAAAATAAGAGTAAAATGTAGAGGTGATTAGAAAACCACATGGACAAGTAAAGCTGTAAGAGGAGAAATGTTACAATGTGTGAAATTTAATTGGATTCCCGGAAAAAAAAAAAATGCCCGTGCATTGAAACCTTCCAGAAAACGATTATGATGTCTTGACATTGGTACATGTGTGTGACGGGTGAGTGCGGAGGTAAACAAACCATGAGAACAGGTGAAGGGATGCAGGCTCCCAGCTGTCAGGTATCACTCACAATAATACAGAAGCTCTTCAGTGGTACGGAGCTGGGATTGGTCACAGTGGGCCTCATACACAATGCTAGACTGTATGTGAAAATCAGGAACATATTCCACTGCAATAGACAATCAAGTATAGAAAATATTATTATTAACAGGGAACCCTGGAGAATAAAATGATATGGGTTTGGTTCTGAAAAGTTGTGCTTTTTGTACTTATATTCCGAGACATTCTTGGAAACTGGATGTGCCTCTCCATGACTCCTCTCTGATGTCAGGGTCAGAAAAATACAAGGTTCTCTTCTAGTCAGGGGCTGACTGGCAACTTTTGGCCCATGTGGCAAGTACAACCCAGAGGCCCATGGTGCAGCAAATCAGTCCCCCTCCCGCTCTCCCTCTTCTCTGCCTCCTCCTGACCCCCCATCCCAAGCTGAAGCTCCACTCCAGGTACTCTCTGCTCAACAGGCATGTTGGGCTGGATAGCGCCTTCTGCACCAATTCTGGTTTCCCAAACTGGTCAGCAAGGGGGCAGCCAGGGCTGAAGGGGGGAGGGTGGGCTCGGTTGGGGCTGGCTAGGGGAGGAGTGCCTCCTGTGTGGCATGGAGCTGGCCTCTGCTTGGACACATAATCTATGGTTAGCCTGCACTCTTTCCTTGTCTTCATCCTGCACTTGATACAATTCATAGGACCAGGGGCGGACTGGCAACTCATGGGGCCCCCAGGCAATAGGGGATCATGGGGCCCCTGTGTGCTTGCCCACACTCAAAAAATCCTATAAAAAAGGTACCAGGGGCATTTCATGGGGCCCGAGTGCTCAAATGGTCAGTCCGTCCCTGGATAGGACACTGGCAGGGACTTTTTACTCCTCTTCACCAGGAAGCCCTTAGGCATGTCTCTGGCAGAGGTAGTGTGGCCTTCTTATGGGGCATCAGAGTGGCTCTGGGGGGCAATTGCCCTACTTCCCCCTGGCCCAAGCTTCCAGCCTGCTTTTGGTCACCCAATGATGACGGAGGGACTGAAGTGCAGACAGTGCTAACTTTAAAGAGTAACTTCAGTCCCCTTTCATTTGGCTCACCCCTCCAGCATTGCCATTTTCATAATTATGGCATGTGCGCAAGGGTCTTCCCAACCTATGGATCCTGGCAGAGCCCTTCGGCACATGTATGCATGCACAGTAGATTTCCCACCCATGTGCAACGACGGCTGTTGAGGATATCCCTGATCTTCCTCATCTTTGCTCATGCACAAGAAATCACCTGCACAGGCGCAGATGCTGAATGTTGGACAGAGCTCTTTGACACATCTGGGCATCTATGGTGGCCCTGGAGGTGTGGAAAAGTCACCTGAAAGGCAGACTGGAAGTCCACTTTGAGGGCGATTTCACACCAGGAATCGCGTAGGAATGCGCAGCACTTTTCTGTGTGAGTACATGCACGACTTAAAAAAAAAGACACTGCAACCGGACCGTATGGTACTTCTGTACCATTTAATTCGGTGCAGGCAAACGTACTGCATGTGCAACCTGCAATTTGGTTGTTTGTTGTTAACACTACCACCTGCTGCAGACTGCAAATGCAGTGCACAAAGAGCGCAGGTTTCTCACAAGTGAATGGGTTCCTAATAAAAAACAAACAATAATAATCGTATATCCAAATGTGAGAGATGGTCTGTTGTACTTAATCATTTTTACTCCCTTCATGGCCATTTTGTGCTATTTAGCACTGCGCTACTTTACCTGGTAATCCCATGGTCATACAAAGTATAACCAGTGGACTAAAGATGGCTTGATCCAGTCCCACTCAACCAATACCTACCCCCTCTTTAAACCTAAGTAACCACACTGACAACAAAAATGGCGTTAATGGCCCAAAATGGCCTTTTATTACAACCATTAATAAATAACATTTAAATAGCAAAAACACAGTATAACATACGTTTTCCAAGGTCCCAATAGGCTTTAAGAAATCTATTACCTGCGTCCTGCTTAACTAGGCCTCCAGCCGCAACACCACCGACTCGGAGACACCACCGCAGATACCTCCACCAGAACAACTGGAAGCCGTACCTCAGATGGGTTCCTACCAGGGGTGGACTGACAACTCATGGGGCCCCCGGGCAATAGGGGATCATGGGGCCTCTGTGTCCTTGCCCAAATTCAAAAAAGCCTATGAAAAAGGTACATCTCAAAAAAAGGGGCATCTCATGGGGCCCCCTACTGACCCGGGCCCTCGTGCAGTGCCCGAGTTTCCAAATGGTCAGTCCGCCCCTGGTTCCTACAATGTGCCTTTATTGTGCCCACCTTAACCAATGAGGACCTTGCGCCCCGCCGGTTGTCCCCCAGCACCAACTGGCACAACCACCACCAAAACAAATCATAAAAACAGCGGGCGGGCGGGAAGTTTGCCTTGTGAAAACTCTCTTTTGACTGAAGACCCCCTGCCACACCCTGTCAGACCACCCCTTGTAGATCCACCTGCCCCCTCCTCAAACCATTTAGACTGCCCCCTTAGCTAATGGGACTCTCCTCTCCCAACCCCATTTAACTCCTGTCATGCTGGCCCTTCGTTCAGTTTTTCTTTCTTTCTTTTCCTGTATAAGTGCAGTGGGTGGTCCTGAAGTGGTTAACTACTTCAGCCAATTCTGACATTTCTCTCATACATGTAAAAAAAAACATAATTTTTTTACTTTAAAACTACTTAGAGCCCCCAAACGTTGTTGTTGTTTTTTTTTTAAAGCAGAGGCCCTACAGAATAAAATAGTGGATGTTGCATATTTTTATGTCACACGATATTTGTGAAACAGTTTTTCAAATGCTAACTTTTTGGAAAACATACACGACAATGAATTTTAATGCACACTAACTCAGTATGATACCCAATTGTTTGGTAAAGTATAAAAGATGATGTTACACTAGTAAATAGATGCCAAACATGTCATGTTTAAAATTGTGTACGCCTGTGGAACGGCACCAGATTACTGTACCTTAAAGCCTCTACATGTTACTGGTTTAGACTTACACAGCAGGTCTGGTGCTAAAATGATTGCCCTTGTGGGGTGATCGCTGTTTACATATGCATGCTGGACCGTCGTGAGCGTTTGTATTTGCATGTTAGTGGGGGGTGAACAGGAGCACTTTAATTATTCTTTAAATTTATTTTATTTAAAAATATTTTTTAAACTGTCCCTTTAATTTCTTTTTAATCATTTTCATTGCTATCACAAGGGATGAACAACATCCCTTGTGATAGTATGGGCCATGACAGGTTCTCTTTATAGAGAGATCTGCCCTTAAAAGCATCTGCTCAAACGGACACAGCTGATCATGTGATATGGTAAATGGCCAATCACGGTGGCCTTTTACCATGTGATCAGCAGCTGAACACAGCAGATCACCGAGTAAATACAGTTGCCGGTTATCGGCTGCAGTTTCCTCACGCTGTCACAGCATGAGAAAAGTACTGCCCAGAACCGGCAATTGTCAGCAAAGGGATTGGCACTGATCATCAGGGCACTGATGATCAGTGCCACCCACCTTTGCCCTGCAGTGCCACCCACCTGTGCCCAGCAGTGCTACCCACCGGTGCCCATCAGTGCCATCCACCTGTGCCCTGCAGTGCCACCCACATGTGTCCATCAGTGCTACCCACCTGTGCCCTGCAGTGCCACCCACCTGTGTCCATCAGTGCCGCCTATTAGTGCTGCCCAGCAGTGCTGCTCATCAGTGCCAATCAGTGCCGCCTATCAGTGCAGCATCATCAGTGCTGCCCATCAGTGCCGCCTATCAGTGCAGCATCATCAGAGCTGCCCATCAGTGCTGCCTATCAGTGCAGCATCATCAGTGTCGCCTGTCAATGCCACCTATCAGTGCTGCCTATCCATGCCACCTCATCAGTGCCCATCAGTGCTGCCTATCAGTGCATCCTCATCAACGCACATCAGTGATGGAGAAAAAATTACCTGTTTTAAAATTTTATAGTAGAAACAAAGAAAAACTTTTGTTTTATTAATTTTTTGCTCTTTTTTTGTTTATAGCACAAAAAATAAAACACCCAGCATCAATTAAATATGACCAAAAGAAAGCTCTATTTGTGAGAACAAAATGATAAAAATGTCATATAGGTACAGTGTTGCATGACTGCGCAATTGTCATTCAAAGTGTGGCAGCACTGAAAGCTGGCCTGGGCAGGAAGGGGGTATAAGTGCCCGGTAGGCAAGTGCTTAAGTTGAAGGGACAGTTCGCACTATAGAAAGGCAGTCCGGATGTGTTCTGGATGCATTTCTGTATGTGCGTGTTCTTGATGTGTTGCGGTTCATTTTTTTCCCGTCTTTTTCTTTAACGTTAGGACATGCACGTTTCCGTACGTTTAGGTACGTTACGGTGTGTCTAGGTGTGTTTTTTATATGTTTTACTGCATTCCAGTACAGTTCAGTGCAGAAAAAATGCAGTATGTTCTACTTTTTTTTCTGGAACTGACCGCACTGGTGTGAAACCATACCACCTACTATCAATGTGTTTTTGATCCAGAAAAAAAAAATGCACTGGACTGCATGTGATGTGAACCAGCCCAAAGAAACAAAGGGGGGGGGGGGGGGGGGGGGGGGGGGAAATGAACTGGAACACATCAAAAACACACCAGAAAGCATAAAAAATGCATAAAAAATGTACTGAAATGCACAAAAAATGGGCGTACAGAAACGCGTCTGGACTGCATTTCTATGGTGTGAACCGGCCCTTTTAATGGAACAAAAATAGGGCTTTGATCCGTTTAAAAAAACAGATGTTGACAGATGCGGATGTAAGCAGACAATTATCCTTTTCCATTTTTCATTGGGATGCATTGCTGTCCATTTTTCATCAGTCAACAGATGGATGAAAAACGGACAAACGATCTGCAAGTGTGAAAGGGGCCTTCAGTATTTACCAAAAATGGAAATATCCCTACGGCGGACTATACACTGTGCAGTCTGATTGTACAATCTCCGTTAGGTCTACCAACAAGTATGTAGTACAAGGACCTGCCTGAAAGGATCAAATTGATTGGTTAGAGTAGGTAGGTGCTCATGTAACATAGCATGGGTAAATCTAAAGTTGAATGTACAAAATTGAATGGTCTGATTCAGGGGCGGACTGACAACTCATGGGGCCCCCAGGCAATAGGGGATCATGGGGCCCCTGTGTCCTTGCCCAAACTCAAAAAAGCCTATGAAAAAGGTACCAGGGGCATCTCATGGGGCCCCCTACTGACCCCGGGCCCTCAGGCAGTGCCTGAGTTTTCGAATGGTCAGTCCGCCCCTGGTCAGATTGTGACGTGTGTTGTGACCCTTAGATCTACCAGCTACTGACGATGTAGTCTCGGGGTCTCTTTGGTTGGATATAGACTGATTGGATAGATGAGGTAGGTCCTCATATTTCAGTTTTGATAAACCTAAAGTCGATTGTATGGGGATTGTTTCATCAGATTGTAACATGTATGGTGAGTCTAAGGCTGGCCCCCTTAAGCTGCAACAGCAACTGACCGGGGTGTACACATGCCACAGTTGCGATGCTTGAGGTTGGAGGGGGCGGTAAAAATGTTGCTCAACCACAGCTTGGGGGGGCACATAAAAAAATTAGCTCCCCTGTTGCTGTGCCCAGGGGCTGACTGACCATTTGGAAACTCGGGCACTGCCTGAGGGCCCGGGGTCAGTAGGGGGCCCCATGAGATACCCCTGGTACCTTTTTCATAGGCTTTTTTGAGTTTGGGCAAGGACACAGGGGCCCCATAATCCCCTATTGCCCGGGGGCCACATGAGTTGTCAGTGGCTGTACCACCTGCTCAACGCGACCCATTTATCTGCATAGGCAGCAGCTCACACGTGTACAAAGCACACTGAAGAGCGATCCACTGTGGATCTCTTTTCAGAGGGCTGACAATAGTGTAACTTAGTCTCAAAGGAGATTGTACAGACACTCTACAGTCAGATGGCATAGTATATGGCCAACCTCAAGAAGACAAAATGTGTTGTCCGTCCTCTTTGTCTTTTGTTAGACTCGGCTTCTCTAATATGTCCAAACAAATGTAAGTATGTTTGTAAATAGCAAAGTTCCTTTTTTGCCTCTCTAACCTGCCATGCCTCCATTGTTCATTGTGTGAAAGAGCTGCTTGTTGGACATGGAGCAATGGACGCTCCTCAGATTTCAAAGATACTCATTGCGGGTAACATTGTAGAAGTCTGTGTTGACATGGGCCAATAATTGTCAGGCTTGAAGCCACAACGTAAGCGCTGAGCGTAAAAGTCCTACATGTTACAACCCGATTGTACAATCTTCTTTAGATCTGCCAACAACAATGCAGTACAAGGGCCTGCCTGATTGGATGAAGATTGATTGGATTGTTAATTCTGAACTTCTGGAATATGTAAAAGCTACCCTTGGAGTGGAGCTCCCTACCCTCACACTACAAGTGTTAGATGCTCTCTAATGCCTAGGGTACTGTTAAAGTGGACCTTCACCTCTTTCTATGACTTGCCATCGTTTTCCTCCTTCACTGTTACACAATTGGATATCAGGTTTTTTTTTTTCTTATAGAGTAAGGTACCCTTTCTGTAGGACCTGGACCTGCATTTCCAGCTTTCTCATCTAGACGAAAGCTCCTCCATTCACCCAAAGCCTCCTGAGATACCTATGACACACATTCCAGGAGACATCTTAGTGATCCCCACTGTAATGAGCATGTACCACCAGGAGCCAGCTGCTAGAACCAGGAAGAGACATCCGGCCCCTGATGACGTCAGATAAAATGGTATAGCGTGACCCAGTGTGCAGAGACCAGCTGGCCCCTGATGACATCAGATAACAAGATGGTGGAGCGTGACCCAGTGTGCAGAGACCAGCTGGCCCCTGATGATGTCAGATAACAAGATGGTGGAGCGTGACCCAGTGTACAGAGACCAGCTGGCTCCTGATGACGTCAGATAACAAGATGGTGGAGCATGACCCAGTGTGCAGAGACCAGCCGGCCCCTGATGACGTCAGATAACAAGATGTTGGAGAGTGACGCAGTGTGCAGAGACTAGCTGACCCCTGATGATGTCAGATAACAAGATGGTGGAGCGTGACCCAGTGTGCAGAGACTAGCTGGCTCCTGATGACATCAGATAACAAGATGGTGGAGAGTGACCCAGTGTGCAGAGACTAGCTGGCCCCTGATGACATCAAATAACAAGATGGTGGAGAGTGACCCAGTGTGCAGAGACTAGCTGGCCCCTGATGATGTCAGATAACAAGATGGTGGAGCGTGACACAGTGTGCAGAGACTAGCTGGCTCCTGATGACGTCAGATAACAAGATGGTGGAGCGTGACCCAGTGTGCAGAGACTAGCTTGCTCCTGATGACATCAGATAACAACATGGTGGAGAGTGACCCAGTGTGCAGAGACTAGCTGGCCCCTGATGATGTCAGATAACAAGATGGTGGAGAGTGACTCAGTGTGCAGAGACCAACTGGCTCCTCATGACATCAGATAAGATGGTGGAGAGTGACCCAGTGTGCAGAGAACAGCCAGCCCCGGATGACATCAGATAACAAGATGGTGGAGAGTGACCCAGTGTGCAAAGACCAGCTGGCTCCTGATGACATCAGATAAGATGGTGGAGCGTGACCCAGTGTGCAGAGACCATCCAGCCCCTGATGACATCAGATAACAAGATGGTGGAGAGTGACCCAGTGTGCAGAGACCAGCTGGCTCCTGATGACATCAGATAAGATGGTGGAGCATGACCCAGTGTGCAGAGACCAGCCGGCCCCTGATGACTTCAGATAACAAGATGGTGGAGCTTGACCCAGTGTGCAGAGAATAGCCGGCCCCTGATGATGTCAGATCACAAGATGGTGGAGAGAGACCCAGTGTGCAGAGACCAGCCGGCCCCTGATGATGTCAGATAACAAGATGGTGGAGAGTGACCCAGTGTGCAGAGACCAGCCGGCCCCTGATGACATCAGATAACAAGATGGTGGAGCTTGACCCAGTGTGCAGAGACCGAAGGGCAACTTATAACAGACAACGCTGGTTTTGTTTTGTGGCGTGTATGTTTTTGTAGACAACTTGGTAGTCAAGGTAAGAGGGTAGAGGGAAAGATTTTAACAAAGGGAGTGAGATTCTGAGAGATGCGTTTTTCTTTCAAGTTTTTGGAGTGGCGCCATTCATCTTGAATGGGCTTCCCTCTACTCTAAAAAAAACTCATGAATCAAATTTTGGGACTGAGCCACTTTGGTGTTGTGTGTTTTGCTGATTTTTTTTTTGCATGCGTTATCATGTGTCAATCATATAAGAAATAATATCACCAGAAGTGCATTGCATGCTTTCCCACAATTCCTGCGATTCCAATATGCTTAGATGTGAATGGGCCCTGAAAATGTACTTACCTTACCCCTCACTCCCATAAGCTTCCTCCACTTTGGAAGCTGCTTCTCTTTGGCCCTCCATCCAATAGTAGCACTCTGATGTCATCACGTACAATCCAGTCCTGCATGGCCAGTGAGGATACCGATCCATAATCCAGAGTGTCAAAAGGAAGAGAAAAAATGCTGGCTGCCAATGATCTATTCAGTTTCGAAAGAATCTGTTACATTTTTTAGAAAGACAGATCTACAGTATATGTGTAGCACTACCCCCTTAGGAGTCGCTGAGTTTTGGGTCCCCCTACAGCTCTGCATAGTCAGGCAACATGCATTTTCTTCCACACGTTCCACACAAAGTCAGTAAACAGTCCTTGAGCTTGGTTTTGTGATTTTATTAAAGGGGTTTAGAACTTGGATGGGTTTGAGGGATGTATGGGATGCCCAAGGAAACGACAAATTTGAAAACAAACTCGATAGCAACTATGTACAGATTTGGACAAAATAGTCTCTCCTTTAACCACCTCCCGTCCGGCCGTTGTATATAAACGGCCGGACGGTGGCAGTGCAGGGTCGGGTGGCCGTTTATAAACAGCTTCCCCGCACCCTGCTTGTGCGCGCTTCCTGGGAGCGTGCAGCACCGCAATCCGGTGCCCGCTGTGTCCTCCGGACACAGTGGAACACCGATCGTCGGACGGGACCTCTGTGTGAGGTCCCAATCAGTGATCACATGCAGAATAGTAAGCAATGATGTCACTTGTGACATCATTGCTTACTACGTTTGAAATCTGTGAATGATCACAGAGGTCACATGGTACAAGGCTATTCACAACAGCCTTGTACCATGTGACAAGTTGTGACCAATCACAGCTCACTCAGTAGTTCTCAATGGCTGCAAGAATACAGCTAGAGAGCAGGAGAAATGATTGCTTTTACATCCTTTATGGGTGTAAAAGCAATCAGTGTAAAAAAAAAAAAAAATCTTCATCACATCCCCACAAGTACAGTGTGACACTGTACTGCTAGGGTGACAGTATGTAAAAAAAAAAAAAATAAATAAAAATAATATAAAAAAAGTAAAAAAAATGTTTAAAAATTATATTTTTTGGTTATAAACTAATTTGGGTTATTTTTTTTACTAAAATATAACAGAATACATTTTGGTCAAGATTTATGATGAAATACTATTTATTTGCAAAATGTTATAAGAAAAACACTTTTTTCTAAATTTTTGGACTTATTAATTTACATAGCAAAAAAATAAAAAGCCCAGTGGTGAATAATTACCACCAAAATAAAGCTTTATCTGTCTCAAAAAAATGCTAAAAAATTCATATAGGTACAGTGTTGCATGACCGCGCAATTGTCATTCAAAGTGTGACACCGCTGAAAGCTGAAAATTGGCCTGGACAGGAAGGGGGTAAAAGTGTCCGGACTGGAAGTGGTTAAGAGCATTCCAGCTCTCTGGTGTAACTTCTCAGGCCTTAGATGAATCCTCCTCTTCACCCAGCTGCAGTGAGGGTATTCCCTGAGCAAGGGGGCCCAGAAACTGCAAATTTAGTACAACAGCCCCGGATGAAAAACTAGTTGGGTTTTCCAACTGACTGTCCTTTCCCCATATGCGGCCCAGGTGGTGTAAGAGTACTCACACTGTCCTTCCTGATAGCTTAATGGATTGGTAGTTACCTTCAGGCCTTTCGCTGGGCTGGCTCCTTCCCTGCTGCTCAGGATATCCTCCCTTGAAGACGTTGGTAGAGTGGAGATCCCCTTCTCCAGCACCTGCTTGTAAGTAGCTCCCCTCTCTGGGCCCCCTCCAGGCTCCACATTTCAGTCTCTCACTCCATCTTCCACCTGACTCTGCACAGGCTCTGCCACTTTTGAGGGTTGCCCACATGCCCAGCCTTCGGTCAGGGGATTGGCCAAGGTCCTTCAAACATGCAGATCTTAGCCTCCTCCCCTCCTCTGCCCCTCTTTTATAATGTTCTCTAAGTTTCTGGAAAGGGTGGGAGGGCTTTTGAAGCCCTGACCTGTTAGAGCCTCCCAGCCTGTCCTGAGGTGACATCTGGACCTCACTCTCAGGCTGACTCATCCCTAGCCTGCTACTCAGCCTCTGCTTAAAAACAAACAAACAAAAAACAGGCTATATTATTAACCTGGAGGGTATTACATGTGTATGGCCAGCTTATCATTAAATAGCAATGGTAGTATACACAATGGCGTTGTTGATGGCGGCCGAGTGCTCATAAGCACCCTGTTCTTTATTTGTGAGAAATATGTCACCAGCACACCAGGATCTCCAAACCAGGTCCAAAGCTTTCTTCAGCGATCACATCATGGTTATAATATCAACATTTCAGAGCCACTTTATCAGGCATGTGTGTCAGATGTTGGAACCATCATCAGTTGTTCCATCATCTTCGGTCAGATGTTGGAACCATGATCAGTGGTTCCATCATCTTGGCTCAGATGATGGAACACTGCACAAAATGGGGGAGACAGACATTTGACACTCATGGTGACACCCTTCCTCACTGACGTGTGATCACATGCCTGATGAAATTCCTGATGAAAGGATCTTGCGTGGCTCCAAAACGTCGCTATTATAACCACAATGTGATCACTGAATAAAGCTGTGGACCCGTATTGAGGATCCTGGTGTGTTGATGACATATTTCTCAATATGATGAACATTGCTGGTTCCAACTCATGGTCACTACAACACCCATACTCATAGCCAGTTCCAGGAACATGTGTGTTGGGAATATTGCACTTGAACTATTCTTTATTTGGCCACAGTCAAGTATGTGTCAGCAATGGTGACAACACTACTACTTCCTAAAGTCATAGTGTTGTCACCGCTCTTTGTAAAAAGATTCTGAGTTGAGGCATAGGGAGGAGGGATATTGGCAGAATCGGACAAGTTGAAGAAAAAGGTAAGGTGTATATTTTTATGAGGTTAATATCTAAATCTCCTGGTTTAGAAGGTTAAAGTAGAGGCCTGCAGTGGCCCAGTTTTTCCTCAAGATGGTGATGCAGCTCTAGAGAATAGGATTTGACTTGGTGTTCTTTGTAAGTATAGAGATTAAATGATATTGTCTGATAAGTAAGGATAGACATCAGATTTACATATTACCAGCAATATCCATCTCTAGGCATTATAGGTAAGGCAGAAGAAAATTGGCGGGCGTTATGACCGAAAATGCCAGAATTCCAGGAAGTATGGTGTTAACATCTTCATTGTCTCATGATATATAAACTTTTGAATTTCTTTTCATCACATCCTCAAATTTTGTTTTTGAAGATGCATATTCCCAGTCTTGGCTGACATTAAGCACTGTGGACTTTACTTAAACACAAGTAGAGCTTAGGCAAAATACAAAGAGAATTATTCCCCGGAAGCTTTAGATTTGTATAGAATATAAAATAAATCCTCAGTTTTATTTTTTCTTCATTGCTATGTCCAGTTGGGGAGATTTCCCTTCATTTCCTGTTGCAGAGACACAACAGTAAGTGAGAGGAGAGTTCCCAAAATGAGGGGGTTGTCCCACCTGCTACCAAACGAGCATACCACTGTAGAGATGTAGCAAACCTACATCAATGCTTTGCAGCAAGCTGAGCATTGCCGCAACCAGGGGTGGACTGACAGCTCATGGGGCCCCCGGGCAATAGGGGATCATGGGGCCCCTGTGCCCTCTCCCAAACTCAAAAAAGCCTATGAAAAAGGTACCAGTGGCATCTCATGGGGCCCCCTACTGACCCAGCGCCCTCGGGCATTGCCCGAGTTTCCAAATGGTCAGTCCGCTCCTGGCCGCAACATACATGAATGCACATTACATGCATTAATGCAGTGCCATGCCAATCATTTCTTATAGCACCCCAATGCACGAAGACAATGCACATGCACTGCAATGGGCTACAATGCTCTATAGTGTATTGTGGTGCATTACGGCAAACCTTTTGTGACATGTCTGATTTTTGGGGTGTTTTGGTGCTTCTAAAGCCTATTGGATTTAATGGCCTGCCCTAATGCAACACATGAAAATGCAAACACATACAAATGTAAATGGGCCCTTAAACTTCCCTTCTAAACTTGTGCTGGTGACAACCATACAATTTAGCATTGCTCAAAACCAGAACACTTAAAAAGGTTGTGGCTTTAGATATATATGTAGCACTACATCCTGAGGAGTCGCTAGAAGATTTGGGTCCCACTATAGTCCTACACAGCCAGGCATCACACATCTTCTGTTCAGACTTGCATCAGGAGACAGAAAACCAGTCCTTGAGCAATGTTTTTAAGTTTTTTTAGGGATGTAGAACTTGGATGGGGTAAGGGGTGTATGGAATGCCCAAGGGAATGGTAATTGAGGACAAACTTCCCGAACTATTTTCAAGCCTAATAGTCAGAACTTCTCTTTTAGGATAGCTGTCCAGCCTCTCTTGGTGTACCACCCCAGAACGCAAATAAATCTTCTTCATCCAGCTGTCTGGAGGAATCCCTGGGCAAGGGAGTCAAAAGCTGCCAGTTGAGCTGTAACAGTCCCGGGTGTAGAGCTAGTCAGGTTCCCCACCCAAATGCTTTTTCACCTTTCTGGCCCAGGGGGTGTAGGAGTACTCACTCCTTCTCCTCCTCTATCAGCTGGGCCACTCCTTCCCTGCCGCCAGATGGTCCTCTCTCAGGGGGCTAGTCACACCCACAGCTTTCTTACTTTCAAAGTCTCTCAGCCTGGAGGTGAGCCCCTTCCAGCTTGGGCACCCTCCCAGGCTCTTGCATCTCAGCCTCACTTCTCCTCCTTCCTGCTACTGAGCAGGCTACAACACTTTTAAGGGTGTCCCCACCTATTGCCAAGCCTTCTGTTGGGGATTGGCTAGGGCCCCTCAAGACTGCAGCCAGCCACACCTCAGATCCACCAACTGCCTGTAGAGCCTTCCTCCAAAGCCCTAGAGCAGGGGGAAGATTCCAGAGGGGCTGGCCTGCAGAGCTTCTCAGACCATAATGTGAACCCAATCTGGCTATTACACCTGGACTGCTGCTCAGCCCCTATCTAACCATTGGTGTCTAGCTCCTCCTAGCTACCTAGGAGGGCGCTACATACAGAACTTTCAAGCTACCTTGCCAGGATAAAATATTAATGTCAGGAATGGTGCCCTGCAATGGAAGAGTTCTTATACTCACCTTTCTGGTCACCCTACTCCTGCTCTACCTAGTATTCTACTTTTCCAGCACTGCAGCTTCCATTCAACACTTTTGAGAGTGTCAGATAAGCTTTGGTTCTGTTCTGTGCCTAGTTGGGGAGACAAACATCTGAGTCATGGTGACACCCTACCTCATGGTGACACCTTACACTACTATAGGACTAAGCAGTGACAAGGGGATTGGAGGATGGAACCGAAGTGTGTGAGGCGGAGATGAGGGAGTGCTGAAGCTGCAGATAGAGGCACAGGATCTATAGGAGGAGTTGTGTCCTCCTCTTTGCTGCCTACTGCTGAGACGAAAGTCAGAGACTAGCTTCTCAATGGCTGCACAGAGAATAGCAGCATCTGGTGGAGGAGTTCTGCCCTCCTCTCTGCTGCCAACTGCTGAGACAAGATGGGGGGTGGTGACAAAGGGGGTGCTGCAGTTGCAGGAGAGGTTTGAGGGCCACATGAATTGGCCTGGCAGGCAGGATTCAGCCCGCGGACCTTGTGTTTGACACATGTGTCCTACCTTGTTGACATCCTATCTAACTATAGGACTAAGCAGTTATAAAGTGGTTTGACGATGGAACCACTGCGCATAATGGGGGACACAGACATCTGACACTCATGGTAACACCCTACGTCACTATAGGTCACAGTGACATAGGGGTCAGAGAATATGAACTACTGCGAGTAGTGGGGGACACAGGCATCTGACATTCATTGTGACACCCTACCTCACTATAGGACTAAGCAGTGGCATAATGGTCAGAGGATGGAACTAATGCGAGTAGAGGGGGACACAGGCATCTGACACTTATTGTGACACCCTACCTCACTATAGGACTAAGCAGTGACATGGGGGTCAGAGGATGGAACCATTACCAGTGGTGGGGGACACAGGCATCTGACACCCATGGTGACATCCTACCTCACTATAGGACTATGCAGTGGCATGGGCGTCAGAGGATGGTACCACTGCAAGTGATGGGGGACACAGGTATCTGACACTCATGGTGACATCCTATCTCACTATAGGACTAAGCAGTGACATGGGGGTCTGAGGATTGAACCATTGCGAGTGGTGGGAGACACAGGCATCTGACTCTTATAGTGATAGCCTACGTCACTATAGGTCTAAGCAGTAACATAGGGGGCAGAGTATAGAACCACTACCAGTAGTGGGGGACACAGGCATCTGACACTCTTGGTGATACCCTACCTCAATATAGGACTAAGCAGTTGCATAGGTGGTCAGAGGATGGTACCACATCTGACACCCATGGTCGACACCATACCTCACTATAGGACTAAGCAGTGACATAGGGGTCAGAGGATGGAACCATTGTGAATGGTGGGGGACACAGGCATCTGACTCTTATGGTGATACCTTACCTCATTATAGGTCTAAGCAGTGACTTGGGGGTCAGAGGATGGAACCATTGCGAGTGGTGGGAGACACAGGCATCTGACTCTTATAGTGATACCCTACCTCAATATAGGACTAAGCAGTTGCATAGTTGGTCAGAGGATGGTACCACATCTGACACCCATGGTCGACACCATACCTCACTATAGGACTAAGCAGTGACATAGAGGTCGGAGAATGGAACCACTGTGAGTGGTGGGGGACACAGGCATCTAACACTTATGGTGATATACTACATCACTATAGGACTTAGCAGTGACATGGGCGTCAGAGGATGGAACCACTGCCAGTGGAGGGGGACACAGGCATCTAATTCTTATGATGATACCCTACCTAGCTATAGGTCTATGCAGTGACATGGGGGTCAGAGGATGGAACCATTGCGAGTGGTGGGAGACACAGGCATCTGACTCTTATGGTGATATTCTACCTCACTATAGGGCTAAGCAGTGACATTTGGGTCAGAGAATGGAATCTTTGTGAGTGGTGGGGGACACAGGTATCTGACACCAATGGTGACACCCTACCTCACTATTGGACTAAGCAGTGACATAGGAGTCAGAGAATGGAACTACTGTGAGTGGTGGGGACACAGGCATCTGACACTCATTGTGGCATCCTATCTCACTATAGGACTAAGCAGTGACAGTTGGGTCGGAGAATGGAACCACTGTGAGTGGTGGGGGACACAGGCATCTGAGACCCATGGTGACACCCTACCTCACTATTGGACTAAGCAGTGACATAGGAGTCAGAGAATGGAACCACTGTGAGTGGTGGGGACACAGGCATCTGACACTAATGCTGTGCAGCATTTTCCTGCGAGTCAAGGGTGGTAATGGAGCCAGGATGCCCTGAGTACTTAGGAAGTCATTCATCTGGAAGAGGAGCAGTGCCGGACAGCAGTTTTTGTGCAAGCCAAAATCTACAGCACCACAAGCAGCATGCCTCAGTTTGGGGCAGACCAAAGGAAAGCATTTGCGACTAGATGTACATTTTGCTTTCCTCAATCAGCTGTCTGTAATGACATAACATGGGGAGAAGGGCAGGATTTAGCCAAACCTGTACAGGAGCTGTCTTTTTCCACCAGTTTGTGGTCTGTTTCTCTAGTGATTACATGAATGCAGTTGACCATACAATATTTTCAATGACTCCTGGAATTCAAGTCATTAAATCAAACATGTAGCTGCTCCTTACACTGTATTATTGCTTGGGGAAAACTGCAGACATGTTCATTGTAAACAATACTAAGTTTACACTGGCCTGGATTTGTAGTGCCAACTCTCCAATCATGGAGAACCAAGAAAAATACTATATCTGCTATGTTGTTTAGTGTCCCTGGATGCACTTAACAGTGCAGTTATCCTTTACATTGGGGTCTACTTATAAAAAAAAAAAAAAAATGCTATGCCTCAAGCATTCACTCATGTTTATTTTCTAGTATTGTCAGCTCCATCTAGTGGTCATAATGTGGAATATTCTTGTTGAGGTATTTCAGGAATATACCACATTATGACCATTAGATGGAGCTGATGATAATAGGAAATAAACATATTAGACCGATTATTATTCGTAACAACTGTATGAATGCTTCAGGGAAATTTTTTTTATATAAATAGACCCCTTAGTGTTTAGTTCTTTACAGTAAAAGTTTGGGTAGCAAAGTATTTCTGGACATGATCACTTACCACATGCAACTGCATTTTGCATTTCATTAGTGTTAAAGGAAAATGCCATTCAGGTTAAACCTGACCAGTTAACATACATAATCCTAATACACATTTAGCCCGGGTTCACACTGATGCGGTGTGGAGTTTGCATTGGTTTCTGTGCGATTTGTACACCGCATCATAATCGCACCCCGTTCATACGATCTGCTGCGGGTGTGTATTTTAAGTTAACCCTGAAACCAGTTCACAAAACGAGGTGCGAAGTGCAGAATCGTATCGCATGGGTGTGAATACCCCATGCAATCCGATTCTGGTGCAGACAAAAAAAGGGTCCTGCACTTTTTTGGTGCGGATGCATTGCGATTTGAACCATACAAAATGTATGTCTCATATTGCACCGCACAGAAATCACATGTGATTTGCACAGGAATGCAGTGAAGTGTGCGAATCACATGTGATGTGCCGCACCGCATCAGTGTGAACCCGGGCTTAACTATTACCTTCTTTTTCTTTTGTTTGAGCTCCAGTACACCTGCACACTCAAGGACACAATTTATAAATCAGGATCAGGGGCTGCT